TACAAATATAAATATATATGTATAAATATATATGTATACAGACTTTCTACAATAAGCCATTACCTAAATTTTAAACGGTAAGAAATTGATCAATTATAGCCGATTATTCTTCTCATATTTGATTATGATTGGTCAATAAAGTTTTTATAACTTATTGTAGAAAGCCCAATAATATTACGCTCGTTCAATTAACAAATATAAATGCATTTTATTATTGAAACTGCATAGTTCTTCGAGAGCTTTTAAATAAACTTGTCCATTAAAACTATATTTAATAGGTTTTGGAAGCTTTATATTAACGTGCATTATTACTGTTATTCAGTTTTCATTTATTTCTATCTTTCGCATCTTTATTTATTTTTATCCACATTTGTTAAAATTCACACAAATTTCAATTTTTGTTTCTCAAAGCTGCATGTGGAATTCCATGTATTCCACAGATATTTGGATTATGTTTTGTATTTCCCATACAGAAATCTCCGTTTATGATAATTGGGATATTTAGTATCTAGAACCCTAAATTGTCCACTATTGTATACTGTTCTCAAATCGAGGATATTAAATTGAGGATCTCTTTGTCATTTACAGGCATTGTTAAATTCCTATTACAATATAATCTTTTTGGGATTCGAATTTTTATTCGTCAAAAAAGAAATCTGAATTGTGCATCTGCCCATCGCAGATTTCTACGCTTTGGTTGTTTCGAAACGATAGATAGACCGTACCTTTGGGAATTTGAGAATTTTGAACAGGTAAGTCTCGGAGATTGATGACAGTAGAAGCGTCACGAAAATCATGTGTTAAGAAGACTTAGGCTCGTTTTACATTCTTTCGTGAGACGGATTGTTTCAAAATTTTTACGCACATTGTCCAAGATAAAATGTTACAACAGAACTGGCTCTAGATATTCCCTTTCGAGAGATCGAAGACCATGTAAATTTCAGATGACTAATCGCGATCGCGTCATTTATGTGGCACGTGTGATGACACACACATGAGTTCATTGTCCTGTGCCGTGGGACGATTTACCGAAATGTTCTATGTTTCGAAAGACCGCATAACAAGGCAACTATTCATCTCGCGTATGTGCGTTAACATTAACAAATTTATTTTTATTATATCCATTATAAAATTTTTTATTACCATTCTGGGCACATATTTTTTACACGAATACGTAATATTGAACGTAACTTTTATTAATTTTGTGTTATGTTTATCTTCGTATACTTTGTATATATTTTTTAAAAAGACAAATTAGTCTCGTCACATTCTTTCGTTTCTTTAATTTTTATCATAATGACGATAACAATTGACGCTTCAATTTGCAACAAGTAAGAGAGGCGTTGAAATTTTTCTAAGGTATCTTTTTCCAACTAACTTGCACACGTCTGCGACACAAATGAGGCCATATTAACGCCAATGTCACTGATGCAATTTGCGCGCAGATGCATACAGGCAGGTCACGATATTTGTTGCAATCGACGATAGGGACGCTCATTATCCAGCGCAAGAAATCCCGCGTTAAATCGCCGTACAAGTCCGGAATTACTCGGCTAATTACCATCGTACCGTAATCGAGCGGGCTAATTAGGCAAAACGTTATATCCTTTCCTCGGCATATAAATGTGACGATTACGACTAACGTCGACAGAACAGTTACGTAAGAGCGTGCAATTTCTTCGTTACTCGGGGAGTGTCGCATGGGGCAACGAGGGCGTCGCCTCTACTGCGAGTTCTCACGGTATTGAAAACACGAGGGGCTCCAATTGCTTTTTCGATCCGAGAAAAATTTTGTCGGAACTGCGAGCATGAGACAATTAGGTATAATGATCGGTACGCGATTACGAGTGTGTAAACATCGCTCGCATTTATTCTGCCTTCACAATCTTGAGCCGGATTTGGTAATCAGTGCACGCCGTATACGCCGCAAAAGGATTTGGCAATGAGAATGCAACAAGAAATCGAAGGACCGCCCGTTGTGCACCGGATATTCATTGTTCACTGAACCTTCGGTTGAATTGAATGTACTGTCATCATTAAAGACGTATTTTTCAAAATGAAAGAATTACGAAAAAAATTATAGATATTCCACATTGTATACATGAAAATAGTACAAAAAGTTTGGCGGCGATTTAGAATCTGAATCAAAACAAGCAATATTTGATTATTTTTTTTAATCATATCTTTAAAAAATACTTACGATAAAATGAGAAAATTTTTATTTAAATTATAAAATGATATTGTTAAATATAAATACTGGTTTTATTGAATTATTTTATATTTGTACGTAACATTCATTTTTATATAGAAAATATAAATTGTTAATTTCATTTTTTACAGAAATTATACATTTGATATATCTTTAATCTCGATGAAACTTCGCACAACTATTTTTTTAAATATCTAAATGATTTTTCCAAACAAGTCTGGAACAAACTTTTGTTCTCTTTGGGTATTGTAAAAGATACAAACAAACTCAAGGATAAACGAAGATAACAATAAAATCTGAAAGTTATGACTTTAATATAATTAAACTATTTTTCTAGATTTTTTTTTAGATAAGAAAAATTACTCTGTTTACTTAATTTGAAGAAAAGAGTAACAAATATTCTCCGTAATTTATTTCACATATTATAACTAAAGACTGAAATATTTTATCAACCTTGGCATATAAAATGGTGCACAAAGTATAATTATCCATATCTATCTAATGGCTATCAAATTTTAATTACTTCTATAGGATACTGTTTTTAAAGAAAAACTTCTCTCATCAAAAGATCTTTAATTACTTTTAATAATGAATATTTATAAGCACTCGATTCTATAAAAATATCTTTCGATATCTCGTATAAGAATTTCTCTTCAAGAATTTCTTCAATATTTCTATAATCAATTGACAATAATGATTTTTTTCATTGCTTTTTAATCATCATTGATAGCTGGATTATTTATTGCGAAAAAAATGGATAATTCTATGCTTCATTGTCTGACGATCGAAGGTTACGATTATTTGGGTCGTGGACACTAATAATTAACTGTCCAGTCCTTCCGCTCTTGGTAGGTTCCCCTGACCTTTTCTTTGCTGTATTCTCTCTCTCTCTCTCCACCTCTTTACTACTCGTTAGTGTCGTCATTGCGTTGTCACCATCGTAGAAATACTATTGCTATATTACATGCAACATTGTGTATTATTTTCTGTCATACACTGAAATGAGAAATTAAACTGAATTGAGTAATTTATTTCATATAAAAGTAAATATCCAGTTTTCGAAATCGTAATTTGTTTTAAAATGTTGAGTTTTCTGTTATTTTATATGTAAAAATAAAGTTACCTTCAGCATAAGAATTATTTCTTTTTTAACAATAATATATTAATATGTTTCTTTATATATATGTTTTAGATAGTATATATGTCTATATATAGCACATCTCTAAACCTTTTAGAGTGAATTGTACTCTGAAGAATGAAATCTCACTTTTATAATGCTTACGCTGAAAGTAACTTTATTTTGTACGTGTGAAATAACGGGAAAGTCAACGTTTTAAGGCAAATTATGATTTCGAAAATTGAGTGTTTAATATTATATGAAATGGATTGCTCAATTCAGTTTCATTTCTCAATTTTTTTTTCTTTGCTATGACAGGAAATAATTTACAATGTTGCATGTAATATAGCAATAGTATTTATACGATGACAACACAATGATGACACTAACGAGTGGCAAAGAGATGGAAAGATTAAAAAGTAAGCCAATTTTTCAATATTAACTTAATTTTCATTCTTTAAAGTGAGATTTCACACCGAAGAATTTAAAGAGTGTTATAAATGTTTCTTTATATATGTATTTACATATATTTATATTTGATCCGTGACTCACGAAACTTATGAAATGTATTACACAACAATTATCTATTGATTCGAGGAAGACAATTGACTTTCAGACAGTCTTTCAACATCAATTGTACAATTTAAAAAAAAACACCTATAAGCTTACTATTTTTATAATTACTTTATTCTGGAATTTTTAAAAGAAATTCATAACAATGCAATACGAGTTGATCAATTTCGTGATTATTATATATGCATATATTATACATGTATATATACATTATATTGCATTATATTGAGCTCTATTCAACATATTTATTTTCATAATTTTCATAATGTTTATACAGTGCTTTTTGTTTGAAATCTAT